AAGAAAATTGTCGAACATACTTTGGAATGGAAAAATGCGAAACACCTTCAAACAAAAAAGTTTTCAAAAATCAACGGGATTTCTTACGAACTTGAAAATTGCAATTCATTACACTACAATTTAATAGGCTACAAAACTGCGTACCGAAATCTTTTCCTAAGACACGTTAAGTTTGAAATTTTGGTGCCTTTCGAAAGAGTTTTTTTTTTTATTTCTGCACCACGAGCAAGTTGAAATATATTTCCGAAATCGATTTTCGCTCTGTCAATTGCAGTCACATCTTGTTGCTTTAATTTCCGAAACTGATTTCCGAAATGTGATAGAAAGGTCTTTCTGGCTGTCGATAGATCGAAATAAAATTTCTCTTTCTCAATTTAGCATGATTTCGAGAGACATATGTACTTACTTTGGGATCCTCTTAGCCAAACTACAATGCACTTGCATTTCAAATAAATTTCATTTTATTAATTCTTGTATTTAGGTAATTTTAAATTTTAAGGCAAAGCGTTTACATAAAAATACATTTTGCTTCTAATACATTTTATGTGTATGTGTATGTATGCATGTGTATTTTTAAATTTAGAGCTTTTGATATTTTATACAATTTACATAATTTGTCTGTAAATAACTTGCAAAGCGCAAGTATATACAAGTTGAATCTTTGCAATTGATTGAAATTTAAATAAAACATTTCTGTTTAATCAAATGTTGTAAAGTTATGTATTTATATACAATGTTCTCTTATACTAAAAATATGGATTTCTTCCGATAACATTTCCCTAAAAATATCGAATAGTTGGTATATTTGAAGTGCATGCAAATAAACTTTATAAAAGTCGCTCATCACCATTTTAATACAACGCAGATGTGTTCTTGTGATTTCTTTAAATCAATGCTTTTGCAACTAGTAAACAAATACATATTTGAAATATCGCGTTTTGAGAATTCTGTCTCCACAACACAGGAAGCATCGAAAAAGGCTTACAGGTAGTTTTTAAGCAGGAAACAAAACCGATTTCAATTCCCATTTAAAAATTTAAGATTATCGTTAATTTCTTCAAGATCCAATGATCGGATCTAAACCAAATTAGTATGGGACCACTTAAAAAAAAAATTTATACAAATCGGTTAACGTGGTCCAAAGATATGCGGTAACATAGATGAAAGAGAATGAAGTTGCTTATCATTTGCGCAACTAAGGCTTTGAAAAGGAAATTTTAGGGATGGGAGCGTCACTGACAACCTTTGCGAAATTTGCAAGATCCTCCGCAAAGCGTGTGGATCGAGGTTTCTCGTGCTTGCAAAGCAACATCTTTCGTTTTTGGCGGGGTTCTGACAGGTCCCGCGATGAGGCTGAAAACCCAATGGGATCCCTTCTGCCCCAGTTGACTGGAGGATGATGAGGTGGTATATTACCTCAACACTACTGCCTAAGCTGCCCAGCTTTTGAGAAGCCAAAGGCTTGTTTTCACTATGTTATATTCCCTGGAAATTGGCGTCAAATAACGGAAAACACCAAACGTTGTTAAAAATCAGTATACCATATAATTTACCTCAAGTTAGGTGATACCGCAAATTAAATTCTCTATAACGTTTTAGTGTATCCCCAATTAAGGATGACCACCGCTACCTAAAATGGCTTCATCACTTTGTATCAGTCCATAGGAGTCAAGATAGATACATACATACATATGCTATTTTTTATACCAAAACGCTCCGATTGAGCGCTCTACGATTGTGTGCACACGATAATCGAGTATAAATTGGTCCTGGAGACAAGGACGGATGGTATTGAAAATAGACAAAATCGGGCAATAACCACGCCCAGGGGGATGTAGTGCTAAGTTTTTTTTCCCCCCAGCGGCGACAGTTTACTTAATATTTATTTAACAATCCTGTCGGGTGCATATTATAGAATGAGATTTTCTTTAATGCGTTGGGTGGGTTCGCAGCGCAAAAGTGTTCACCGGGTGCAGATACTCTTATTTATTTTAATTTTGATCATTTAACAAGTTAAAGAATTTTTTTTTTACTGTAATATCATTGAAAATTATGTAAGAAATCGCGGTACTTCATTACACAATTTTTTGCACATCCCACTTTGTGCCAAATGCATTATTTATAGGGTTTTAAAGCATGAAAAGCATTTGAGCTAAATTTAAGAAAATTTATGATTCTGTTTATTGCACTTAATTGAAAATGTCATGTAGGTAACGTTCAATCAGCATCAAAATAATATTAAATATCTATGTAGCTAGCGCTGCGAAGTCTTAGTTTATATGATAGGCTCTGTTGTATAAGCTTAAAAAAAAAAAATATTAAATATACTACAGTAGTGCATACATACATATGTAGGTTTTTTTTTTTCAAAAATATTTTATTTTCAATATCATAAGTAAATTTTTATGTGCCGACAGTACTTAGTACATATCTTAATATTTTTTTTTAAATACTTATGCCGCAAATGGTATTCAGATTTTTTCTTTAATTCCTCATCAATAGGCGGGTAATTGTGTCTTAAAGTCAGATTTTAGCTGTACTTTGTTTTTAATTTTATTTTTTTTGTATTTGGTTTTACTTTTAACTACATACATACATACTTTATCTTTTTTTTTATATTTTATTTAATTTTATTTATGCAAGCATGAATTGACTAACATTGTAAGGCTAGCTACAAGCATACTCTTTACATGTAAAATATGGTTTTTGGGGATCGAAAAGAAATCTACATACATACATATGTTTTGTATACAAAATGGTTTAGTTAGCATTCTCAGCTTATAAATTTGTATAAAGTAAATGTTACGGGTTTTGCTTGAGATATAAAGTCATACGAGGCGTAAATTTAATTTACATTGGGCTTTTATCACAAAAAATTATAGTAAAGCTTTTAGTAAGTTTATATCAAAGTGGACTTCGAAAATATATGTACTGTACACTTACACTGTTTATCATTGGGTTGCACTAATTCGGACACAGAACTTTGGTCTAGTTTTAACCGACTTCCAAAAAAGGAGGAGGTTATCAGTTTGTCGGAATATTTTTTTTTTATGTACTTACCGCATAACTTTGGACCACGTTTGGAACCGATTTCGATAATTCTCTTTGCATCGGAAAGGTAGTGTCTCAGAGGTGGTCCCATATTGGTGTAGATCCTATCAGTGATCATGATATATATATATATATATTTTTTAAGTCGGTTTTTTTTTTTTTACTAACGAAATTGTGATGAAGGGCCTGGAAGAAAAAAAAATTTGCTTACACAGTTGTTAGTGCTTGGCCGAGCTACTCCGATCTGTTGTGCCGCCTCCAAACGGTAAATGTTTTAATGAGATGCTTTGCCATTGCCTACTGAAGTCGGGCCGCGAATCGAACCTGGTGGGTCTTAGCGATTGGTAGTGTGAAGCTTTAACCATGGAGCTCCAAGAAATGCGTGTATTAAAAAAAAAAATCAATGATTTGCAAAGGGGAGAAAATTTTCGTTATCGATAAATGTACATATCGTTACCATAATATACAGAAATTCAGTTTTATACGAAATTTGGAAAATTGCTCTCAAGCTCCTATTAGAAATCAATTATAACTAAAGCATAAAATTATTTGCAGTCTTCAATAAAATTGACTTTTTAAAAGAATTTGGAGCTAAAGAAATCCGTATACAGCCAAAAATTTTACGGATTTTCTATATTAAGGTAACGGTATGTCATTACAAACAATTAATTTTTGAACAAAAAACACACCGACTTCAATTCTCTTATAAAAATTTAACAGTACCGTTAATTTGTTCATGATCCAATGATCGGATCTAAACCAAATTAGTACGGGACCACCTTTCCTAAAAAAAAAAGAATTATAGAAATCGATTAACGTAGTCCAAAGTTATGCGGTAACATACAGTGGTGGAAGAAATAATAGAAACTTATTTTGACCAGTTTTGGCTATATTACTTTTGTTTATTCGATGTCTAATATTTTTTATAAATTTCTAGCGCATTATATAACACGCACCATATAAATCACACTTTGAAACTTTGCACAAAAATTTAACAAATTTTACCAAAATCCCCCAAAAATTTCTTAATTTTTTCTCAGATTTTTTCTTTTGAAAAATGTTGGTTATGCAAATTTATTGCTCATTAAATTTTATTAGTGCGAATTTCAATACGGAAAACGATCGCGTTGATTTAAAAAAAAAGTTATTTGCTGACGCCGCTAGGCATTCTATTCCATATAAAAATAAATTTTGAACATTGTTGAGCATACTTATATGGAAGAAAATGCACAACACCGTCAGCAAAAAAAAAAAAATTATTAAAAATCAACGCGATTTTCTAACGTCTCGAAATTTGCACCTTAGCCTATTGAATTTTAATGGGCTATAAAACTGCATAACAAATATTTTAAAAAAAAATCTGAATAAAAATTTTTAAATTTTAGGAGTATTTTGGTAAAATTTGTAAAATTTTTGTACAACGTTTGAAAGGTGGATTTACATATATGGTGCGTGTTAGACATTTATAAAGAATATTAGACATCAAATAAAGAAACGAATTATAGCCAAAGCTGGTCAAAATAAAAAAAGTTCTATTATTTCTTCCACCACCGTATGTACAAAAAAAAAAAAAAAATATTCGCACGAATTGATAACCTTCTCCATATATATATTGAAAGAAATGTTTGGGGTTGTGCTAATCAAATGACGCACAGTGTATAAATGCATCATACATACATATGAATGTACAAATGTATTTATGCATATGTTTCTAAAAAATTCTATACAAAATAATAACTGCGAAGTCCACTTATTGTTGACAAATTTTCCGTTTATAATGGCAAGGCAAGGATATATTAATGACGTATAATTTTTAATATCAAAGAAATTAATGTTTTATTAACTACCAAGTAAAAAATCTAAACAAAAAAAAAAACATTGGTAGTGTTAGGTTAGGTACTAATTTTTATACTATCAATTGTATGATTTCATTTAAATTTACTAAAATTTACTAACCAACTAAAAGTATTTTTGCTTGTAAATTTGCATTAGAAATAAATTACATAAGGGCCGTTCAGGATCTTCTGCATTTGCATATTCGTTGCATAAAATTTTCAAATGCAAATGCAATTCCAACTGCAAATCCAAGACCATTTCCACAACATCCTGAACAGCCCCATAGTATATTCTTAAAGGTGTAAACTTTTGCATGACGTTTCATAAGCTATTTACAGTACATACTCTTTTTTTTTAGCTGCTAAAAATAATGCATACTTTGATAAGTTGCTATGCATAATCAGCTTATATACGTACATACATATTTACATAGTGTATGTATGTACATGTACATATTGCAATTTATAATGCCTACAACTGTATTATTTGCTTGATAATTACGCCATTCTCCGCGCCGCCTTGAAAGCGCGTCTTAAGGTACATAAAACGTTTGACAGTTACCAAACACATACACACTGAATGTGTTGTTGTATGCGTTGCCTTAGGAAATGCGTACCAATTTATTACCGCCTCTGCATCATCTTCCTCACCTAGTCCACTGACTTAGGTGTAGACTTCAACCGGCAACTAAATCATTAGTGCTGAAAATGGATTGTAACGCATAATTTTCGATAATAAAATCCAAAGCACCGATGTTATGCCGCATAGTACCACACCGCCCCAGCCCAAATCCAAACTCCATGATGTCAGAAATATGCGTGCGCCCAATAGTGGTTTGGCCATTATGGCTACGCCGCCCGGACGCGCCACAATACCATCGACGGTGCCATCATAGTCGCTGTCTAGCATGGGACGTCCTTGTTGGCGCTTGAAATGTATGATCATGAGTGTGAAGAGCGCAAACAGTGCTGGAATAAAAAAGTTCAAAAAAAAAAAAAAATTATTAAAATTTTTCACTGAATATGTGCTGTGCTACAAAGGTGGCAAAGACGAGGAAGGAAGTAGTAAGACTGATTATTTTTTACTTTGAGAGTGTGACAGTAATTGCGCAAGCTCAGGCGCTTTGCAGCGAACAATTTACTGTATAACTTACCCGCCAGCAGATACATGACGCCTGTTATTAGTATGGCGCTAATTTGTCGTTGACAAACGCCGAAAGCTCCTACCAAGGCGGCGCTACCCAGTATAATTAGACAGACCAATGAGCAGGAAATTGACAGATTTTGCATTCCTATAGGAATTAAAAAAAAAAAAATGTTTGGAGATGACATAACAGTGTAGAAAATAGAATACACTATGTATTAGCAAATGCATTCAAACTTTTTTAATTTTTAAAAAAGGTAAAATAGTCTTAAATGTAGTTTTCAGAAATTAAAGCAAGTGCAAAATTGTGTATTTTAATCAGATTAAATATATTTTAAGTAGATGTACATGTTTATGTATTTTAGAGATATTAGAATGTAATGCATGTAATCTAAATCCAAATTACCATTCTATATAGCAGTGTTATATGTATTTTTGATAATTTTTATATTTTGAGGCATTCACGAAACTTATGTAAGCTTATAAAATTAGAGAGCGAGCAGATGCTATTTATAAATTTATGGAATGATTGATTTGAGTTGTGAACTTTCTTAGAACAGGAATTATTTTTGAACCGGACGTTTGGTTGATTGCTATGAGTCTGGAAGGGTTTGTACTGTCTCTATTACTACCCTCTTAATAAACACTCAAATTGGGAAAGATTTGAGGCTAAGTTTGATACAGCCTAGTATTACCCCAAAGTGTGTGCTTTGGTAATGTTTCTGGAGTGACACTCCTTGGCCGGTTATAAATTTGGGTCGTTTCTTTACCTGACGAAAAGCGAGTTTTGTATATATTCTTTAGTGGAAGCTACTGGAGAATTGTAATGTGTAGTCGGCTAGAAATTAAGTAGTGAACACATTATTAGTTATCAACTAGAAAAACGTACATTTATCAAAGGTTTGAGAAATCGTTTAGGCGATTAAAGCGCCAACCAAGGACAACAATTTAAAGTATTAACATAATTAAATATTTGAAATACTTAATTTACATTTTATTTAGATAAAAAATTAAAATTGCAATTCTTGATACTTATATACTGGTTCAAGACACTAATTAATGTAAATATGTAGATTATTTCAATTGGCGCCCAAACAAAACATATTCTCACTTCTTATGTGTTTGCTGCCTGCCTGCCACTGCTACCAATCCTCATCACTTACCACTGCTTTTTTCGCTTTTTATTACAGACAAACAATTTTTGACGTGTCGACACATAAACGTTCGACTTAATATTGAAAAGCCGAAACAAAAAAACAGCTCAGAACAAAATAACACAACTAACGGTTAACCAAGAAGACAAGCTTTGCTAAAGGACTCGAATCGAAAAAAAATGGCGAAGTCGCGTAAAAGTGAAGCCACCAAGCAAGTGGCAAGTCCAAATATCAATACTGCACCCAATACGAACGGTACAGAGACAGAGGGTGTCGAAAAAAGAAAGCGTGGTCGCCCGGCTGGCGTTGGCCGTAGACCCAAAGCAAAGAAGCCGCTTATTACGAAATTGGTCGATGGCAAACTGATGAAGCGAGCATTGGGCGTGCCCAAGAAGGTGTTGACTGGCAAGCGTGGTAGGCCGCGCAAGGAATATGTTTGGGTTGAGGCGAAATAAGTAATCAAAAATGCTCATCTCCACACGAGTCCAAATATTATTTAAAGAAAGCAAAAAAAAATATATATATATAAAAAATCTTAAAAATTGTATTGCAGAACAACAACGCTTGTTAATCATAAATTGTAAACGTTAAGAAAAATCACATAATGCGTAAAATTTAAATTGATTATACATATACATATACATTTTATACATAAATTAAGATCTCTCGATAGTTTTGCGAAAAATTATTGTTGAGTTAGAAATATATGTATGTATACATTACCAATGTCAAATCGTTTTAAGCGACATAAAAAGTAATCAAGTTTGATTATTCAATATTCAGTAATTTACATATACATTTTATATATACCTTAAAATTTCTTGATAATTTTACGAAGAATTATCGTTGCCTACATTAAAATGTCAAATCATTTTATTCAACTTAGAAAGTTCTTAAGTTGCATTATTCAAAATTCAGTTAATTATGTATGTATATGTATTAAGTGTCAGTAAAAAATCTACATACTTATTTGCGTTTGTAACTGCAACCAATTTATTTTGTAATCGAAACAAATATTAATAAACTGCATTCCTCAAAAAGTAAATGAAAATTAATACTTAATAAAAAAGGTACTCTACAAGGATATCGATCGGAGGTTTCTTAAAAAGAAATGAGTTGCAGATGGCATTGATTCGTAGATAGGAAGAGATTAAAAAAATAGAGTGAAAGCATTAAGCCGTATGACTACACTGCAAACCAAAGTTCCCGAAATCTTTAGGAGTATCTCATTTCTGTACCGATTTTTTTTTTTACGAATCATCAAAGCAAATTACACGATCGTAAAGCAGTTTCTGTACGAAAAATAAAGAAAATTATGAAAAATACTGCAAGAAATTCTTCACGTAGCTGCATTATTTATTGCTTTAGCGATTTTTCTCCGAAATCTTGTAAAAGAATCGAAGTGTGCACAGTTCATTTCATTTTAGAAAATTCTTCAAAAAGTCGGATGAGGTCAGAATACTCTGAAAAAATGGTTTGCAGGACATACATATGTATATGAAAGAAAAAAGTTGACCGTGTGTCAGTTTTATTTGAACACTGTATGTTGAGAAAAAAGTTTGGGCGTTCCCACGACAGTCGGGTATACGTAACCGGAACGACGCAGATTTATATTTGGCCAAGGACCGTCACTCCAGCAACACTCCACAAATACTCTTTGGGGAACTTCCCAGTGGGAAAATGTAATGTATAGTAATCGAAAAAAGTAATCAGTAAAACAACCCTTTTCACATACGAAAATGTATTTTTTTCCCCAGGGCGATGTCCAGAAAAAAATGGGGCATTCAATTTTGCATTACCTAGTATCGAGAAACGAATGTGTTTTAATATGAAATTTTTGGAACTTCTTGAATACATTAGAATGCTGTTTATATAGCTAGAAGTAATATTATCGAGAACGCATAAGAAATACATTATATTATTTATCACGCATGTAATGCATTACTACTTTTCCGACTGGGTTGTATGCTGCTAAAACAACAACAACAAAAAAGTTTGGGTGCAATCATTTTTTATACGAAAGACAGAGTGACGGAGATAGAGAGAGAGAGTGAGGGAAATAGAGAGAGAGGGAGATAGAGATAGAGAGAAAGTGAGGGAAATAGAGAGCGAGAGTGAGGGAGATAGAGAGAGAGTGAGGGAAATAGAGAGCGGGAGTGAGGGAGATAGAGAGAGAGAGAGAGTGAGGGAGATAGAGAGTGAGGGAGATAGAGAGTGAGGGAGATAGAGAGAGAGAGAGAGGGAGATAGAGAGAGAGAGAGAGTGAGGGAGATAGAGAGAGAGTGAGGGAGATAGAGAGACAGTGAGGGAGATAGAGAGAAAGAGAGAGAGTGAGGGAGATAGAGAGAAAGAGAGAGAGTGAGGGAGATAGAGAGTGATATAATATTGACTGAACAATTTCCCTCTGCTATTTCTCTGTCTTTTTCAAATGAGTGTCAGCAGTGCAAATTAACGGTGAAGTTAAAAAGTGCGGCTGTAGAACAAAACTAGATAAATGCATGGTTGTATTTTGGATTACGTTTGCCTTTAACAAATTTTTTACATAGATACATACTTATGTAGACACATATATGTAATTAAGTGGAAAGCTAAAATAAAAAATTATCGTAACGGGGAGAAAAGTTCATCGCAACGTCACTGAGCAAAAAAAACGTAAAAAGTACGTCGAAATCGTCAATTCGGCAACGATGTGAGCGAGATAGAGGGAGGAAGAGTGTGAGGGCGAAGGAGATAGCGAGAGAGGGAAATTAGAGGGAAGGAAATAGAAAGCGGAAAGGGGTTAGAGACAGAAAGACAGAAAAGAGGTATAGGGAAAATCCCAAGAGAAAACCTTTCAATAGAAAACATGTAACGTTCAAAAAGAAGCAATTTAAACAGTTTATGGGAATGACTATTCTCAATATCTTGTGTTAAAACGCTTTCCATTTTGAGTAACCTCCGCCTCCTTTCATGCATTGTTCCACCGGTTGCTGTAATTTTTACACAATTTTAATGTGTAGGATACACGCATGTAATTTTACAACGAGACAAGTGAATGCTAGTTGGTACACTACTTCTGGACCTATGCTCAGTTCGTCTGTATTGTTACGCTCATAATCTACAGCCTTTTCTATATACATACGTACATGTATGTAATATTATTGTGCTTAAAAATGAAAATTAAAGGTAAAGCAACATTGCAAACTGGTGCATAGCCGGAGGAAGTACGAGAACAGCAGGCATACATATTGCTTTCGCACTCATCCATCCGTTTTGATAAGTCCGATTGCCGTTGCTCCTGATGAAATTTGTCGGCAACAGGATGAAGTATCGCTAAAGTAGTTGAACCGTAAAAATGTCCTTTATGCATTTTTTAAGAGCATTAAAATGCATTTACGCGCGTACATGTGTGTGTGTATACTACTGACCATGATAAAAACATTACAAGGTAAAATCATTGAGAGGCGGTCTGACGTTTGCCAGCAATATAATTTTAAAATTCGAACTCAAGCTCGCACACACAATCTCATTTTTAATTCAAACAACAATTGCATGATACAAAATAAATAAAAATAAAAAAAAAAATTTAATTTTTTTATTTACAATTTTATATGATTTTAAAATGTTTGCAAACGTCAGAAAAAAAATCATGGCCGGCGAATTGAGAGAATCATTTTACCTTCTAATGTTTTTATCATGCTACTGACCAGAGGTCGAAAATATCCCTCTCCACTTTGAAAGTGTCCCAAAATAACCATCACTATTTAAGAGAGTGTTAGAGCGTGGTTATCCACGAACGCCCTTATATTAGTAAAATTTTTAAATTTACCTTGATCTTAATTTTTGCATTTATCTTTACGCATCTTTGTTTTTGTTTTTATTTTTACCTTTGCCTTTATCCTTTTCTTTCTCAATAAAATAAAATAATCAGCCAGGGTGAGAAACACTCTTTGCTTGAGAGATGAGTGTTTGTGTCTGTCGTAAACACCATACAAGACACTTGGTGACGGTTATT